GCTTACCTCAGAAATAAATAATTCCGGCATTTCATCAAAACTCTTAAACCGTTTAAGTACAACAGTTTGTGGTATATTCATATCAATATACCTTTCTTGTCTATATTTGGCAGTATAAACTGTTCTGTAACCACTGGATCGGATCTCTTTGAGTTTGTAAAAGTTGCTATACTGCATGTACTTTACACATTCATTATTTCGTATAAATCTGTCCAATATTTCACATATGTCATGGTAGAAGACTAAATAATATTCCCAAGTAGATGGCTCCTGAGTGATCCCAATTATCCAAATATTCTCAGGTGTTAATATATCTGGGTATTCCTTGGTTAGCTATTTGAGTAAACAAATACAGTTGTTAAACAAGCAAACACACATTAATAACACTATTTTGCATTTTACATGTGAAATAATTTACCTGATGAAAATCAAACGACTGGTTGTCCCCTTTGTCACCTATCTTTTTGAGTGTCACACGCATCAATTCATTTGTTGTCAGTTCTAAACATTCTGCTATATGTGTGCATCCATGGCGTAATGATGTCATCTCTTGTATGTTTGTCAATAAAGAGTATCGATCCATTGTATATAAGCATCATACTTATTCCTTGTATTACTCCATGACTTCATAATGGATGAATCCAGTGACTTGCTGTCAGTCGTCCAATCAACAGGTTGTGGTGCTTTACAACGATAACAGAATGAATTTATCATAGGTTCTAACGGATGTGTGCACGCCAGACATAATCTACACCCATCATATTTTTTTATGAGACAATACTTTTGTTTCCTTGGATCATATGTGAATCCGATGGTAACCCAAACATCCGTAGTAAGAATATCTGGATGCACATCACATAACTAGTGGAAACGATGCATAATAATAAGTCAATAATTATTTAAACTATTCAATAAACATGACGCATAAGTAAATAGTTTACCTCGGCGTAATATATTATGTGTCTCGTCTGTTATCTCAAGTGGAATCGATTTCACCCGTGCATAAGTAGGTAGACCATACAAGTATACGCCACATGCCTCCACATCAATACAATCGTATGGAATCCATTCCAAATAAGCATCATTTGCAGAGTTTGTTTGTAATTGAGATTTCTTGATAAACTCATCGAGTTGCTTATTGTTGCTAGTCCATCCATCGGATAATTGTTTGTGTCCACAGATGCACCACACGGGACTACATCGGAGTATTCCGCATGCGGAGCAGAAGCCATAGAAAGAATAGCAATGGTAAAAGCGTTTATCAGCAACCATGTAATACTTGTCGTCATGCTCGGTAAATCCCTCTATGAGTTTGTTGCGATAATTAAGCCAAGTGGAATATCTTCTGAACTGATTAACGTTATTGTACTCGTCTGTCGGAAGTGAGTATATTCTGGCAAACTCAGTCACAAGTACCGGCGTGCACTCTTCGCTACTTCCAACGCATAGCAGTATTTTATTGCCTACATCGACTGTAGCGTAATAGACGTTGTCAGTTTGAGTTGGCTCTATGTTGGTGACTTTCTCATAAAGAACCCATTTAAGTACTGGGTTACGTCCACTTTTCAAGAAGGATTGAACCAAGTTGTCAATCGCTGGATTATTAACAACTCCTGATGCTAACGACATTGTTTGAATAAGAAGTTTTCACAGTCATTCACGGAGAAACGTTTATTGTGTTACATCACACGCACGGATCTCCGAATTCTCCAATAGTTGAATCTCGTGTTATAATGGGTCTAACAGTAAAATTGCGTTTAAGATGTTTATATCGCTTGTGACAGGTTTGACACCCGAAACGCTAAGGCGGGGTGAGTGGAATAGTTTATACATAAATTTATTTATTGTTATCAATAACAATTTTCCACACAAATAATATTTAGGCATTATTGTCATTAATGGTTATTTTTAAATATTATAATAAACTATCTATTCAAGTTTATTGTCAATAAAAAATTTCCACATAAATATTATTTTGGCGTTTACAAGTTGTGAAGTTTACTTAAATTTTATGTCAATAACAATTTCTCACGTAAATCTTATTTTGAACTTATTTGTTGGTAAGATTACATCTAAGAATAAATTAGCGATTGCGCGATGTACGATTTATTTAACTATTGCTACAATTTTTTATTACTAGTACTAATAATAGCCATATTTTACACAAACGTTATTTTTACAACAAATTATATTTATTTACTAATTAATTTTGTTTATTGAATTTTATTGAAAGTTGTTGTGACATGGCTCGGTATAAATTAGCAAACGTTAATAACAATCAATTGTCTTATCTTTATTAATCGAATTATCTATAGATGTATCGGTATGGTCTTTTCTATAGAAATCAAATTTCACATACGTACATATATATATTCTAACGATACAAAAGTATGTCGTACACATTAGTCAAATACGATCTGTCGTTACGACCGAAAGATTGTTTCGCGATTTTTTGTGTTTTGGGCGTTTAGAGGTCTTTTTTCTAGAAAATAGTTTTATTCAAACCTAATAGTGTATTTTGGGAGACGCTTATTCAGCCAATAATATTATAAAAAGTTTATATTGGAATAGTATCGGACAACTGTTCCGTTAAATAACTTTACTGATTTTTATTATGGTTAATCATTTGAGAGTAAGAATAATAGTATATAAACCCCCAAAGAAGCTCTCAATAGTATGTCATGCAGTTACTACCGGCAACTGTCTTCAACAATGAGCATGTATATAAGATTCTTCTTTCTATATTTCTGTAAAGATGTTCAAGATTATTTTCCTGGCGCGTATTCAGGAGATAGTGTATATTTCTTCTGATGCCATAATCATCTTCTGGATCTTCTGGCCATGAATCACCATCTAATGGTACAGAACATCTCTTATAAACCCTTTTATTTGTGTTTTTACAATGTTCATCTTTTTTCACTTGTCTATTTAGATCTCTCTTCTGAAAACGAAAGTCAATCCTCGAAACAGAATGACTCAGGATTCTTTTCCTTATCGTTGGTATCAGTCATCGATTACGAAAGTATCAAGACGGCGAAATCGGAATAATACCTTAACAGAAAAAGTTGAGAGTTTTAGCTAATACTGTATCGATCTTTTTAGTTATCTTTTTTTTTGTTGCAGTTTCACTTACTAACCTACTTGCTTTCTCACAGTTGTTCCGCCGTATTTAAACAATACGAGGATAGTGTTTTATATTTTCCACTGTCTTTCCATAACCAATATTACCTAAAAGTCTAAAACCTGGCTTTTCGAAGCTAAGGCTCGAGATTTTGCTAAATGGCTTTTATCAAACTCAATGATTCTATGAATCTTTGTGAGGCGGATTCCCAGCTTAATAAAACACTGAAGTGCTCGGTAATGGAGTATTTACTTCTCTTTACCAGCACTGTTAAGATTTGGAACGAGTTCCTTAGTCTTGTATCTTACCGGTGAGACTTGTTGATGTTTAGCCATTTCCTCTTTTGAGATTCAGGACCTCTCCCATTTTAAATCTGCTAAAAGAATCAAAGTGTAATCAGTAATGCATATTGTAAAAATGGTCAGATAGAGAACTCTAGAAACTCAACGCATCTGGCATTCAACGCAAAGTATTAAAATCAAAAAAGAATAGTGCTACAAGCTCTTTTAATACTAAGGTAAGTCCCGCTATTTATTAACGACATCGGGGAAACTGAGCCTAATATACCGCGCGGTTTACGCGAATCTCCAGCAAAATGCCATGCAGACACACGTAAACCGTGCGGTCAATTTGAGATGCAATTTACAAGTTGAAACTTTGGTAGCTAGATTAAAAAAGTCAAACACAGATTACACATTGATTCTCTCTAATATAAGCACTCTATAACATAACGGATAGTGAATACTATCATTCAATTTATGGATGTTTACATCGGTATATCGCGATGTTTCCCAAAATTTTTAAACCGTCGGTGACCAGATTACTCGGGCTTAACAAGCGAGTTTCTGACAAACCGCACTGCAAACCGCATTGCAAACCGCACTGCAAACCGCCATAATTGTAAGAAATTGGTGAATAATATGAATGATAGTAAATAAATACAAAACACTCTCCAGCTAACCAATGTAATCGCTTACTCCGGATCATCAATCATACGTCTATTGCTGCCATAAATATCCATTACACGACACGCCACAACTGATAAGAATGTCAATAACAAACCAGTTGTCAAATAATATATATTATAAAGGCAACAATATAAAGACATATATCATTGCCATTAATAACAGTCCGACTCTCGCTGGTACACCAAAATATTATGTATCTCGTATACGCTCCCATTGTACTCGAAAACCTCTGTGTTAACAAGGGGATTAGATGTAGTCATTCTGACTGTTATGTGAATTAATAACGGTGCACGTTTTCAACCCTACCTGTCTTTCCAGAATACTACGTCGCTCTGCCAATCCTTGTCATCCAAATCGGCTACAAATTTCCCGAAATTTTCGTTGGTCCAACCATGACTTTCATGTACCAACTTGACAAAACGCTCATCATCTATCTTTTCCTTGTTAGCGAGAACTTTTGCTGCCAAAGAATCATAAAATTTCAATACATGCAAAACCGACTTGATGATATCATTTGACTCAGCATCCGAATGATATAAAATGTCAATAACATTACGCTTCTGATGATAATTAAACAGATAATTTTCGTTCTAAATAAGTAAAGTATATTAGCATAGATGACGAGACGTACAATGTGATTTGGGGATATCAATAAAATTCATACCGAGAGTACGCTTAGAGACCGTTGTATATCCCCGCTTCTGCGAAAAGCATCCGATGCTGGCCCTCCCAAACGCACTTTGACACCAATGGGACTCTTTCCTGGCTTAATCCATTCACCAAATCCAATTTCCCTATCCTTCAATTCATCCATGGTAGGAACTTCACCCGTGTCAATGTATTGCTTTGCAATCAGACTTAATTTAGCCTGATTGAGAATTTCAAATTGAGCAGCCTTCAAGAGTGACAATGTCGCGTACAAGTTGGCTGGCACCAAGACAGCAAAGCACGAAAACAAAAAGGCGGGGTCATGCGATATCGTGATCAGCCCTACGCCACATAACATTCTTTGGGATTGCGTAGAAAAGGGGGAGGGATAGAATTTTTATGACTTGCGCAATCGTAGGTTCGGACAGTAATCGTAACAAAATTCAATACAATATTTCGTACAATATTCATACCCTAACAGATGAGCAAAAGACATCTGCGCGTCGTCCTTTGCTACTATGTCGCCGATATTGCCAGACAACTATAAATAAAAGTTTTTTCAAATTCAAATAAATTCAATAAAGCGAGATTAAACACGGCACATACTCACTGCAAAGTTTCTTGTAAAGGCCATATGAGTAGCTCCAAATATACTGTATTGAATACTTTCAAAAGCGTTACCAAGAGAAGCCAAGGGTAAAAAAAGCGAGGGTTTTGCTATGCATGTGCATAATTGCAAAAAATAGCCCACAACGGCAAACGTTTCACTGATCTGTAATTCTCCCAAATGGATCGCATTAATTAGTTACGTGATTATGGGTAGACGAACGTTATGTGTGATCTTTAATAGCCTACCATTCTCCAAGTCTTTGGGTGTGAATCAAACGAGTAAGCAAATCGTTTGATAAAGAACAATTTCCCTATTTCTCCAAAGCCATCCTTAAGAACCCTATTGAAACCGATCAGAGTTGAATTCAGGGCACCATAAATACGCGATAATTATTCATGATAGATACCACTGTATGGCGACTGCCCCTGCTGCTGCTTCGGCTTGACCCAAACCAAGAGAAGAAAGCATAGCTTGACTACACAGAACCCCTGTCTAGACAAAATCTCCGTTAATAATAATGATCGGGAAGTCAATAAGCTATTTTTTCAACGAAATGTAAAGCTCACAGATGATCCAATGAATGTTTCTGCAGCAAGCCATATATGAAATTTAGCGTAACATTCGTGGACTGTCTCTGGATAGCTAAACCCAACGGGAATACATGGTTTTTAAATACTAATGCCAGAAATCAGTATGAAGAGAAAACAATGATGCAGAGTTTGATTTACCCTACTGGCAGAAACATTGCACTCAAGCTCTGCTTAATACTCCCAATGAAACTTGAAACAGGACTCCGCACTTCTGGAACACCAGAATTAGACTTTTGCGGTTCCCATTGCCAGAGCAATGGAGACGAAGAAGCTTGTGGCGTGGACTTTGAACTAGTTGGCGAGTGAGTTGAGGCGGGCGCCAGTGCTGTGAATATACGCGTTCTGCCGTATATGAGTTCGGTAAGTATAGGTTTATCTTGTGATTCGGTTGTCGACCTCTTGGTCCAAGATTCATTATTGGTCGTTAGTCGGCGACAGAATACTCGGGAGCCTATAGGTGGTACGCATGCCGGTATTGATTTCGTTCTAGAACGAAATTGTATAGCCGTTCCTCGAAAGGTGTAAATATTATTTATTAAAGAACTCGAGTTTGAAATCAATCTAGCTTTGGAACGGAGTATGTTATGGATACAGCTTGATTGCATTTCGAAAACTAGTGGAACGAAACCCTAAAAGATGTTCGATCATACATATAGATTTATCTCGGTATTCACATGATCTTTGAAATTTTTCTCCCGTAGAGATCCGATTATATCACGTAAAAGTAAATTTTAAGTTGTCTGATTTGATAATCTAATTCCACGCAATTTCCAAATTCAAATACGGACGTATTCCACGGTCGAAATTTATAAAACTGTTAGTATACAGTTCTATTATAACGAGTTTGACTGTAATAATAATATCTTTGCATCCGTCTTTAATTCTAAAATTACATGGGTAGCGAGCGTTACCATGAAATCGCACCGTAAAGGAACTTTTTTATCACAATTTTCATATATAACAAGACTAGTAATTACTAGAGCAAACGTGAGTCCCGAAATAAATAAAAAAAAAACAAAACAAAATTCCAGCCGTTTTACTGAGTAGCTTCGTGATGGGTTGTCTTTGAGCGTTTGTACAAACCGTACAGTTACGTATATTAATAAAATCGACCGTAACAAATCCAATTGTGGGAATGTCGCTGCTTCCTGCACTTTTTCTACAGAAAATTTTACCTTCCGTATTATCCAAAACAGGGCTTCTGGTTATTAACTTAAAATTCTAATAATTAGTTATCTGCTAACCATGGACATATAAGTATTCTATACTAATTACCCGAAACATGCTTCGGAGAAAAAAAAATAAGAAGGTAGCAATCCGTGCATCCCAAATTGATTTGGTAACAAAACATATTCGCCAGAGCAATAGTCCATCTAAACTTTCTCGATAAGGAAAGGAAAAAACTTCAAATAATATTCCAAGAGAACGACACCGTCCAAGAGTTGGATTATTTAACAACAACACCGTTTCGACAATGTCTACTAACAGTCTACCCGCGCCGCTTATATTAAAAATTGACTTCAGGGCATTTGGTAACTTTTGTGGACGCGTGGCAATAAGTTCATATCCGACTACGACTAAGCTGTTTACTGGTTTTTTGAACAACGTTTCAAACTAAACGTTCGTCTTTTAAAAAACAAACAAAAAAAAACTAAAAAACAAACAACACAACAAATAACTATCCTCTACTATTTGCCTTGGTGTTGGATATTTCAACTTCGAGTATTTTCGCCCGTGAGTGTCTTGACGATTTGTATACCTCTACGGAGACGTAAGACGAGATTGAGGGTGGAATATTATAGTCGGAGAGGGCGTTACTGTTGTTGTTGTGGTTGCCGTTGTTGTTTTTATTCCTAAACAGTATAATCCTTCTTCTGACCCCATGCCCTGACATTTTTCCAAAAGATACCATATTCTATTAATTCCTTGATTGCTGATTCGAGAATAGCATCATAGTGTTCTCCAGTTATCTGCATTACTGCCACATAGGGATATTTCAGTCCACTCCAGAGATCTCGAAAGTTTCGTATTGCCTGTATCGTATAACAAATGTAGACATAAATGTAAAGAAATGGATGGCGTCATGACAGAAAGCATAGCAAAGGTTGTCTCACCATTTCAGCGTACTTGTCTCCCTTTGGCCCTACCGGAACAGGTACTTCCTTGTGATCGATGTTTGTATAACAACCAGACTGTTCAAGAAAGCCTCGGATTTCAAAGGCAGGGATCACAACAAAGTTTTTTGATTCAGCCAGAGCAATCCCTTAAAGGAAAAGAAAAACACCAATTGAATAAAAGTATTTGGCACGATATTGTATTACGTCCATCAACGACTTGGTTTCTTTCAGCCACCACCAACACCCTCCCATCCTCAACTTACATGCATTATTCAGACGTGTAACGTTCTCGCATTTGTCACCTCCTCTTATCAAATCAATCTCCATCATCTCTACCCATCCGCCTGGCTTGGTAATTCTCGTGTATTCGGGAATAGCAAGCTTAGTCCATTGCGACCTTGTGTATACTGCGAGACAGTATCTGGCAAATACGTAATCGAACGAGTTGTCATCAAACGGAAGTCCGTCAAGGACATTATATTCTACAAACTCGAGGTTACTAGGCTTTTCGACCGGAAGGACTACAGGTGCAATGTCTATGCCGATAAAGTAGGAGTTGGGGTATTCTTTGGCTAGTTCTAATGTCCAAACACATGAACCGCAACTGTGTGAATGTAAGTAATTATAATTGTAAGTACTTGACTAGTGTGCAGTTCCGTTAAACTATTCATCCTCTCTCAACTAACCAGACATCAAGTACCCTTGCCCCCTTCCTCAATAGCTGGTCAACAGGTGCTGAAAAATTCCCATCGAAGGCTTGTTTCATGACAATGTGTTGCACATCTAATCTCTCTTCTTCATTTTCATCATTTGGCAGAAAATAGTTTGAGTCGTCTAATGCCTGATATCGTCGGCCATCTATGACTTTGAATTTGGAGTCTAATGTTTGTTCGTTCTTTTTTCGTGGCATTAGAGAACAACAGCCACCCATCATTAACGAAAGCCAAAGATTGGAGATGGTCATGTATGTCATTGTAATTGGGTTAAATTTTACACAAAAATATTGTACAACTTTATTTGTTACATATCGATATACTGTTAAAAACTGATATAACGTTCACAATACTCACTTTATCGAACTATTTATTGATTATTTAAGGTTTTGAGCAAAATCCGCAATAGTTAAGAACATTTGATAATATACTAACTAAATTGGGAAAATTTTAAGTTTTTAGAGCTAGACTAGACAGGGAATTTATTTTTAAACGTCATTAGTCGTGAACAGAACAATCTCACTCTATTTACATGGAAATGAGGAAATTAGAGTGGCATGAAGGTAAGCGACAATGCTAGAGAGTATACCATTGAAACTGGTATAACATTCATAGAAAAAAAATTACAACCAATTTTCCGCAATGACTGATCACTTGATTTATCATATAGCTTTGAGCGGATCAACACCTTAGATTGGAACAAAACGATCTAATTATTATATTATATGTTGTAAGGCGATATATTTTTTGTTTACCAAATGATATATAAACAGTGGCTTTCCGACAAGCATTTTTGCGGCCCACCACAGCAATAGCTGCTAGCTACTAGCGACTAGTATCTAGTAACTTTAATTTTGGTGTTGATCATTGCCAAAAGATAAGAAAAAGGTCTACATTAGAAAAAGGAAAGGTAAATAAATGTTATAGGCTGAGTTGAGGCAACAAACTTTAAAAATGTGGGTTCAATCTTTACATGTTAAAATATTAGAAACTGCTCGTAACTCTCGTGGATGTGGGATCAAACCTCGATACTAATATGCAAATGCATAACAAGGAGAAAGAAATCATGGATGTCAAGTAGAATTTTCTATAACAAATCATACAATGATGTTCTGCCCAACTTTCTATAAGCGGGGGTGTAACCTGGAGTTCATACGTGTAAGCATCAGGAACAAGGCAATATAACAAACACCCTTATTATTATGCTCTCAAATAGGAATTCCAATCACACAATACAACTCATCCTTGTGCGGTTAAAAACTCTTCGCATTCATGATGCTTGTTTTTCTTGTAGCCTCGAACGTCAATTTCTCTTTCATACGGTTGAATTAGCGGGTCTGTTCAAACCGCTGCCTTAATAATCTTCCTATAAGCCTATCGTCTTGCTCCAACACTCACTCGCTATACTCCCATAGTTGGACTTCAATATATTATATGTCCAAGTCAGAGTCTCGGGATTTTTATAACGATTCGCAATTCCTAGAGGCATCCCCAAATACCTTTAGACGAGCTATAACAGAGCAGTTCCACAACACTCGAGCTAACAGCAACAGTTCTCTATTCCAAGACCCGGAAAACTTTGACGACGTGTCCGATCAATTTCCTATATTAAAAAGGGTTAACCAGGGAGCGGTCGAGAACGTCGAGGAATTGAGTGGAACGCATATTGCTAACGAAGTCGTGGTTTATTCTCCAGTCAACAGCGACGGAGTAGGGGTTGGGATAGAAGTCAACTTGGAGAGTGAGAGAAAGACAGAAGTCTTTGTTAACGACACTAACAAAAACGTCGAAAATACAAAAAACATTAATATAAAAACCATGGAGAATGTAGATAATGTAAAGAATGTTGTGAAGGCGAACGGGGACAATGAACGAAAGAGAAAAAAAAAGTGGAAGCGGATATGCTGTGTGATTTTTTGGCCATTCTATCCTTGTTTCTGGCGTAAGGGGGATAAAGTTCTGCCAATGTCAAGAACTGACATTGAGCTAAATCAGACGATCCAGGACAAACGAAAGATCAAAAAGAAGCGTAGAAATTGCTGCTTAATAATACTTTTAATTATTATAATACTTTTATTACTCGGTAACATTGTTGCATTGGATGTTCGATCATTCCAACCTCCCCTTAATTCAGTCAATTCCACGGATACCACCAATACTACTGCTCCTCCTCCCGTTCAAGTCAAGAACGCCGTTTGCGTTTCACTCTTTAGCGCTTTTGCTTTGCAACCACAACAGTTTCCGTGCGATTTCTGCGCCAGTGGTTCAGATGTGGCCCCCAACATCACAGACTTTTGCGTGTTGAAAGGGATATGGGCCAATGCGGTTAATGTGACTTCGATAGAGACCGTGGCTGGCTGGATGAGGAACAATGAATTTTGTAGATGGGTTGGGGTGACGTGTGATCAGGGAGGAAGGGTTGTAGTGTTACAGTTAAGCTTCCCCAATGTACCAAATGTTTTTATAGACAATTTGGGCAACTTGGAGAAATTATCATCTCTGTAAGTTAACAATATCTTATACTGTGTACTCGATGATATATATAACACTCGTTATTTATCGATATTCTAATTCGCTTATTTAACCCGTTATTAGAAAGATCACGGGTAATTCTCTAGCTCCAAGCGGCGCATTTCCAACAAGTCTGTTTAATCTCAAGAACCTGGCTACTATCAGGCTTGAGCTGACCGCTCTCTCTAATATGCCAGACACATTCGATAAGCTGTCTTCCTTGACATCTTTGTAAGTATTCATGTTGACACATCAGCTCTTTGATAATCATAATATCAACAACTATATACTGGTACTAACTTTAATTTTCGCTCACTGTTTATAGGCAGTTGATACGAAATCCATCATTAGGCAGTACGTTTCCGAGCTCCGTTGCGTCATTGTCTTTGAATACTTTGTAAGTCGCCTGTTTGATATCTACAGTAGTCGAGTATCATGGCCGAAGTTCTAATGTTAATATATCTTTTACAGGGCAGTCTCTGGCCAGAATATAGGGGGCGCAATACCCGATGTTATTGGAAATAGTGTGACTTTGCAATCAAGTCTGCAATCTTTGTATGTATTAATCATCCGATTGTTAGCATTGTTACATTGTTTCCGTTGTTTTTAATTAAAATTACTTTTCACTTTTCTCTTTAGGGATTTGAGCTTTAATCAGTTTACTGGAACTGTGCCGGCCTCGCTTCTGCAACTGAAATCTTTGACGTCTCTGTAAGCATATACAATTTTTCACGCATCGTTAATAAGGCTATTCTTTTCTCATTTTTGCTTAATTATTCCAATATATATGGATATACTATTTTTTTTTATAGAACGCTTGGTAGAAATCAGCTCTCGGGCCCTATTCCTGCTCTCCCGACAACCCTAACTACGTTAGACCTTAATACGAATACATTTTCGGGATCGATTCCAACCTCCTTGACGCAAATAACCGGATTGACCTTCTTATCCTTGCAGGCGAATTTATTGACCGGGCCTATTCCGACTTCAATTACGCAGCTAACGAAATTGACTGATCTGTCACTGCAGAGTAATAAGCTTAGCGGTGGAATACCTGACGGTATCGGTAATATGAATATACTTAGATTGTAAGTAAATCAACAATTGTTTCGACGATTATCCAATGAGATGAAATACAAAAACCATCACTCATCATCATCGTTTGTCTCAAATTTTATTAGGAACCTAGCATCTAATGTACTCACAGGCCAGGTACCGACATCAGTATGTCAGAAAGCTTATAACACGTGCGATCTCTCCCTCAACACTTTAACATCGCCTATTAAATGTACTGTTTGTCTTGTTTGATTGACAACAAATGTATTTTTAATTCCGAATTATATTACTGTATTCTTATCCATTATTTACTGCATTGTCAATATACATTCTTGTTTTTTGGTAGTCTTTTTGTTTTGAAACATTTTTGTTAGTGAGCAAGATCACTATTGTAACAATAAAAAATTCACTTGGGTGGGCATAGGAACAAAATATCGTATGTGTTACAATGATGTAACAAGGTTAGCTTACTATTAGAGGTGTTATAATTGACCGGAAACTTGCTTTCTATGTCTTCCTCATTAACTGTGCATGTTTTCTGACAAGGGCTGTTATCACGTCTTCACAAAATGTGATATACAAGTTCTGTATGTTTGAATCACTTCTATTCTTCTCAGACCCACGCGTCGAGCATACATTGCGACACAGAGTTGGTGGAACATCTATTTATTTATTTAACATTAATACCCATACATAGTACTACTTGACCCTTTGTCTAACTATTTATAGTTATAGATCGAGAAGCTCTTTTTTTCTTTTTAAACTGTTGCGTTGGGAACGATAATTGCATTTTCGAGACTCTATGTTGCATGCACCACCATATTGAAATCTACAGCGAAGCTAAGCGTTGTGAAACGAACGAATTTCTTCGATCTACAACGCAAAAGGCCATGCGAGCTTGATTCCACTTCAATGTTATCTTACGGTACGGAGAACTTTCATAGCCAATCCACACGGTTCGCTTTTCAAAACTCGATTTAGCGATTTCTTGATTTAACGGAATCGCTGCGTCCGTTGTACATGTTATGCAGTATTTTCAAAATAGTCACTATACGGTTCTCCAGACAGACTATCAAAATTTCCTTTTGCGAAGAAAAAACGGCCAATCATTATTACGTAGCATACTATAATGACAAAATTGTTATATTCGTTGATATAATCTATCTTTAAAAGCATTGCAATTTCCCCGTACAATAAAAATAGAATAGCGATGAATTATCCCCAACAAGAAAAAATCTGGCTGTGCCATCACGAGCTGGTGTAGCCGCGATTAGTGACGTCTGAATATCAGTAAATTCGAAGATAACGAAGACCTATAATCAGTAAAAAGAAATATCCCGATAGTATACCTACTAGGACAGGCAAGTATCACCGAATCCGAGTTGCAGAGGTCGATTTACAAACACCTCTATTTTGAATCTATTACTGTGGTGAATAATTGGGTTATTTTTTTTTTTGTAAACTAACAATGTCAAAACGCTCAATCGCAAGGCTTGTCACAATGCAAAATACTAGCAAACTATTTAATTCTTATTGAAACTACTACGCTACGCTAATAAATTGTTCTTATTCGTACAAGTGTGTGCGATGTAACACAATAAATGTTCCGAGATTGCTTGGAAATCATTCAAACTATTACTATTACTATGTCGTCCGCTCCGGGTGTTGTTAAGGATATTCATAATCCAGCAATTGAAAACTTGATTCAATCCCCCTTGGAAAGTGAAAATGAATCCTTAAGACTTGAATGGATTCCTTGTTCCGAAATCACTGATATTAAGTCAACTCCAATAGACGCTGTCCACTATGCTGTCCGCGAAAAAACGGTTGAAAAAACGGTTAATAAAACGCTGATAACGCTGGTATCACTTGGAAATGATGAGATATGTACACCAACACTTGTAAGTGAGTTTGCTAGAATATACTCACTTCCAA